GTAAATAAGCATCAGCAAGAGATGTAAATTCCAAGTCAGTCCTCCTGTCGCCCCCAGCCGAAGGAACACCTCCAGACACCAGCGGGTCAGTCCAGTCTGCTCTGTCAACCCCAGACCTGCCCACCTCTCCCAGATCTCCTGACCTCTTAAGTTGACAATGAGGCCACAGTCACAGCAGAGCAGTCGTGCTTCCTAGTGGACGCCTTGAGTCCTGTGCTGACAGATGTACCCATGGACATCTTACTTCCACCTGGCGTCTCAGAGACCTTTGGGAGACTGAGCAGCAGCCAGGATCCCTCCTTCTGTGGCTGCAGACTGAGGTTGAACACTGCTCTGACCCAAGGGAAGGTCCACTGAGACTGACAGGAGGGCCAGTCACTGAGGACATGTCCTGGCCTGAAGCCAGGGGGAGGAAAGAGCCCTTCAGGCACTGAGAACTCCACAGGCTGCCCTGGAGGAAGAAGAGGCAGGTTCATGCAGACCTTCCCAGCCTGTGCCGCTCTGGTTTGTCATGGAGACTTCTGTGTGCACAATGCAACTCAGGGCCTGTGAGTGATGACACACCTGCACGTAATGATCATTTCCCACTTTGTAATGTAAGAACATGCATGATATGACATGCATTTAATGAGAGCACGTTGGTAGATATTCTTAGAGAATCACATAGAGGTTATTCTAAAGCTCGCAACTATTTCTGTACAAAAGTCCATCCAATTACAAACAATTTTATATTGTTAAACTCAATAGTAAAGATAATGTTATTCTGGAGATTGTTGGCAGTTATTCACAAAATATTCCATCATTGTTTTCCTTACAAATAGAAACAATCCTAATAACAAACTTCTAATTTCTAAAAAAATATTTATGCATTATATGCAGAAATGAATAACATTGCACCATGCTATTGTGTAAGGACTTAATAATATGTGAAAAGTTAATATTAAGGCTGAAATAATTTCTGATGTTAAAATCCACACACTGAATGCCCTGTCTTTGCAAGCTGAAGCGCCTCTCTGCTGCCCTCAGCAAATGGCCATGGGTGTTAGAGTACAGCCTGTCTGGCCCTCCAGGACCTGGCGGACTGAACTGTGAGGAGGAGGAGGAGGAGGAGGAGGAGGAGGGGAGAGACCTTGGAGGTGGACGCAGTGCCTGAGGAGGACTCCATGACTGGGGCTTCCTCAGTGTCATCTCTGGCTCCATGGCCCAGATCCCGCCACTGGATGAGGGGACACAGGTGGAGCTTAGTGTGTGGGACCTGGGGCATTGGTCTGACCTGGTCAGGGCATTTCCTGGGAGCCGAAGGATTGTTTGCATGACAAAGGGAGAGGAGGCCAGGACAAAGGAGGACTGTAGCATCCCCTGAGCCCCACCTGTCCTAGAGATCTGGGGTGCTGTCCTGCTGAGAGTGCTGGGCAGGGTCTAGAACCTTCACCTTTACCACTGTGACCACTCAGTGAGCGTGGACAGCCAGTAGACTGGGCTCAAACTGAAAGAACTCAGGAATCAAAACTTATGTAAAATGCAGCTATTGCTCTCACTTATCTCTGAATGTCTTTGTTTAGAACACAGGAATTACAAACTAGAGCTTACAGCTCTTCACATGAACAGTCACACTCACTTGTTTTTAAAGGAAGCCCATTCTGTGTCCTAAAAAAGAGAAAGAACCAGGTGACAAAGCTTTGTGTACTGCAGTGGAACAGGTCATGGTTTAGACTCTCAGGAGACTGAGGCAGGAGGATTGCTTGAGCCCAGGAACTAAAGGAAACTGGGGGAAGCAGTGACACCTTGTTTCAGAAACACAGTGGAAGACCTGTTAAATAAACACAAACTATTTCTACAGACTGAGTAGGGCATTCATGGATTTCTGTGATTTAGGAATGGGCATCTGTGTGTTAATTTATATTTCATTGAATAATCAAGAGTTAACAGATAATATTGTATCTTTTCATGTGTTGTATCCTCTTTTTATCCAATGCCACCCAAAATGAACTGCATTGTAGGTCAGAGTCTTATATCCTGATTGTATTCAGTATTTAGATTGCACTACGTTGAGAACGGAGATCATGCGGGTTTCCAGGAGTTGGGAGTCAGAGGGGTTGGTGAGGTAGAGTTTCAGTGCTATCTACCATTACACTGTGGCAATGTGAATTCAAGATGTACAGTGCACTACCATTCATGATGAAAAACTACCTACAGAAAGCTGGAATAGATGATCTTTATCTCAACTTGATACAGTCTGACTAAGAAAAGACAATGATCAACAGCATACCCAATGGTCCGAAAATGAAAACCTCCATGCTAAAATCAGGAAGAAGACAAGAATGTCCAGTGCCACCACTCCTGTTCAATATCCTTTTGAAAAATTAACCACAGCAATTCAAGAAGAGAAAACATTAAAACCAATAAAGATACCCAAGGAAGAATTGAAACAGTCACACTTTGCTAATCATATAGTACTCTACATAGTGGACCCAAAATCTCTGCCAAAAGACTTCTAGACTTAAGTGACAGATTCAGGAAAGTGGCTGAATAAAAGTTACATAATCAGAAATCAATAGCTTCCTTGTACATAAATAATACTCACTGAGAGTGAAATTAGAGAAAAAAATCACTTTCAGAGTAATATCCAAAATAATGAAACATCTAGAAATCAATCTAACAAAGGAAGCAAAAGACCTCTACTTTGAGAAACACAACATTGTGAGTAAAAGAGATTGTAGAGGCTATAAGATAGTTAAAAGACATCTCTTGTTCCTGGGTAGGAAGAATTTAGATAGTGAAAATTGCCATACTTCCAGAATGTTGAACAGATTCAGTGCATTCCCAACTGAAATCCCAACAGTATATTTCACAGAAACTGGAGTAAACAATCCTAACATTCATCTAGAACATGAAGGGACCCAGAATAGCAATAGCAATTCTAGGCTATAGAGACATGGCAGGGAGTATTACAATCCCAAACTTGAAACCATACTATAAAGCCATTGCGATAAAAACAGCATGATACTGGCAAAGAAGCTGACATGAGGATCAGTGGAATACATTAGAAGATGCCAAATCCACTGCTTACATACTCAGCCACCTCATCTTTGACAAAGGAGCCAACCACCCTCTCTGGGGGAAAGACAGCCTCTTTCATAAATGGTATTGGAAAAACTGGATTTCAAATCGTCATAGATTAAAACTACACCTATATCTTTAGCATGCACTCCACTAATATCTAAGTGGATCAAAGATGTACATATTAAAATAGAAACAGTAAACATGCCGGAAGGTAAATTAGGTAGAACTCTTAAAATGTTGCCATAGGAAATGACTTGATGAACAAATCCTCAGTAGCATGGGAACTAGCATAAAGAATCAAAATGTGGAATTTCATCTTTTTAAAATTTTTCTGCTCTGCCAGAGAAATCCCCAGTGGAGCTAAGAGATAATCTGCAGTGTGGGAAACATTTTTACCAGCTGTTCCTCGGAAAAAGGTCTACTACCTAGAATATACAAGTAACTCAAAACTCAGATCCCCCAAAGATTCAGACCCAAATCAAAAATGGGCATCTGAAATGAACATATTTATCAAAGAAATAAATGCAACAAATAAACATAAGAAAAAATGTTCAACATCACTGTTCATTTGAGAGATATACATGAAAATAGCACTGAGATTCCACCTCACTACAAAAAAATGGCTGCTATGAGGAAATCCACAAATAACACATGCTTACAGGGTTGTGGGGAGAAAAGAACACTTCTTCATTATTGGTGGGAGTGCAGACTGGTGTAACCACTGATGAAATCACTATAGAGATACCTTACACAGCTAGGATTGGGAGTCTAATTAGATCCAGCTAGTCCTCTGTTGGGTATTTTCACTAAATATTTAAACGATTCATACCACAGTGATATATGTGTACCCATGTTTATAGTGGCACAGTTCATAATAGCTATAATTAGGAAGCAGCCCAGTTGCCCATCAACTGGAAATTGGATAAAGAAGATGTTTTCTTTTGTGTTAAATAGAGCACTACTCAGCCATAAACAACAAGAAAGTAGAGTTACTTATAGCAAAATGGATGCACATTGAGGCCACACTCTTAATTGAAATTAATAAGTCACACATTTGTAAATACTGAATAGTTTCTCTGTTGTGAAATATTGAAAGCATGAATAAGGATCAAATGTTTAATTGATATTGTGTAACAGGAAGAAAAGGTCTGCAAGAATAAAGGAAGTAGGGAAAGTTAAAAAGAATGGGGAAAGGTAAAAACTGAAAAGAAAAATATGTGAAAACTATAAACATGGAAACAATATCTTTGTAAACAGCGAAGGGTGGAGGGGGTGAAGGGAGCGTTGGATAATGGAGAAATCAAGAACCCAGATAAATCGTGTAAAGGTACAAAATCCCAGTGATGAATGTCACATTATTACTGCTGAAAATGTACCAATGAACTTAATAAGGATATAAAGATGTGGAGTAGTGATGACTGTGTAGCTGAGGATGGCAACTCAGGCACCTTTCCTGTATTCCTACTACAAATGAGGAAATTCAGTAACAGGTTTTATCCGATCACATAAATTTTGAGAGGTCAGATTAGGAAAGGAACAAGGACAATGGCATGCTTGTGTTCCAGGGAGTGTGTGTATTTTGAGGGAAATTCCCAGCAATGTGCTTCTCACTCTACTTTTTTAGTACTAAACTATCCTACAGAGATTTTTATCACGCAGAATCTTAAAAAGGACTGCTGAAAATTTTCCATTTCCTTATCTCCATAATACAAAAATATTGTAGCAAAAATGACAAAAACTTCATGATTATTATTTTTATTGGAAAGGAGAGATAAAGAAAACAAAATAAATATATGAGGACATATAATTATTGTCATGTTATCCCTCAAAATTTTTAAATCTGAAACCCTAATTGTAATTTCTGAGGCCTCAACCTTAACAATTTTTCTAGTCCCTATCCACTGCTGCATATATTGACGCGGAAATTTATCTACATTTTACATTGTGGTAGAACGGAACTTCACAGCCACTCTTGCCAGGGCCCCCAGCACCTCCTTGTTCCTCAGGCTGTAGATCACAGGGTTGAGCATTGGGGTGAGGATGGCATAGAAGACAGAGACCACCTTGTCCTCTGCTGGAGACCGGAAGGACTTTGGGCGGAGATAAGTGAAAACAAAAGGTACATAGTACAAAGTCACCACTGTGAGGTGGGTGCTGCAGGTGGAATAGGCCTTCTTCCTGCCTTCCTGTGTGCGCATGCGGTAGACAGCAAGGAGCACTTTCCCGTAGGAACCCACTATGACTATGAAAGGGAATAGGAGAAAGGTGACCGTGCTGAGAAACAAAGTGTACTCATAGATCCAGGTGTCCTCACAGGCCAGAGTCACCATGGCTGGGATATCACAGTAGAAATGATCGATGGCCCTGGACCTGCAGTAAGGGATGTGGAGGACATAGACTGTGTGAGCACAGGAGTTGACAACACCCATGACCCAGGATCCCAGGATCATCAGCACACACACTCTTCTGTTCATGCGGATGGGGTAGTGCAGAGGGAAGCAAATAGCCACATAGCGATCATAGGCCATAGACATCAGAATAGGTCCTTCGCAACCTGCTAACATCGCAAAAAAGAAACATTGAACTCCACACCCAATGAAGGAGATGGACTTGTTCCCAAACAGGAAACCAGAAGCCATCTTGGGCACAGTGGTGCAGATGCAAATTAGGTCTATGAGGGAGAGCTGACTGAGCAGGAGGTACATGGGTGTGTGGAGCTGGGAATCCAGGAGGATGAGCAGCACCATGCACAGGTTGCCGATCAGGGCCATCAGGAAGATGAGGATGGTGAGAGTGAAGAGGAAAAGACCAAGACTCGATGTGGGGAACAGACCCAGCAGGATGAAGTCGGTGAAGGTCTCATTGTAATTTTCCAGCTCCGAAGGTCCCCAGTGACACAGCAGCATTAATGCATAAGCAGGTAGTAGGAGGAAGATACCATCGATGTGCAGAACCCATTGCATAGAGCTCTTTGGAATGAAATTGGTCTCATTGTCCTACACTGCATGAGGTCACTACCTGAAGTTTAGATTCTAGATCTTTCCATTGTCATTTAAGAAAGGTAGACCCTGGTGGGCATGTCACACAGCATCTTTCAGAAGTCAACCTGGAGGAAGACAGCTGCCTGTGAGGAGAGACTGGGTGCACACTCGTTGGAGACCTGGTGTGAGACAGCGCTGCACAGGAACAGGGAGTGTAACGACTTCATCATGATCACCATCGTCCCATGGGTGCAGTCAGCACTATGAGAATAAATACAGCCATGCTTCTCCAACAGTGTAGAATTCAAGCTGTTTTGTAAACTATGCAGGTTTAGATCTCAATAAAGCATTAATCAAAACCTGCCATGTAAAGGTTCAAGATCCCAGTGATGAAGGTAACTGTACTGTACACCTAAAATATTCTAATAAACTCAATGAGGGAAAAAATAAAGCATTTTCATGTCACTAAAGTAGATATTACTACTATCATTTTGCTGAAATGTTGTCCTCTGCACAGATATGAGGTAAGTGTATTGCAAATTGAAAAGCATAAAGAAAGAAGTGGATTTAAATAGAAATACACCCAACTTCTGTTCATGTCATTCCTGGAATCTTTTCCAAAGAGTTTGGAAGTATAAAAATTGTGCATTTCTTCATTTAACCAGTCTCACTTTTTTTAAACCACAAGTACTATTTCACATTTTCATATTGAAATGATCTTTATAATTTCCAGGTATTTGATTGCAATAAAATGGACTCGTAGGAACACTAAACAGAAAGTATTAGGTAGTATTAAGTTGACAAATGCTCAGATTCACTCATCACTCTTGAGAAAAACAACAAAGAACACAAGCAAAAAGCAAAAGAAAACAGATTATATGAGGAAAGAATTCATCCTTTACTATGAATTTTGGTTTAGAGTAGAATTTACCTTTCTGTGCACTTGAGCACACGGACAGCACATGCAGTACAATGTGCTCTCCTGGCTTCCACTTTGAAAGAGGCTCCTCCTCTGTCCTAGGGCACAGGCTCCTCACTGGATCCAAATTCATTTTCTGTTCTCTGCACACCTCATATCAGGATGTCTGTGCTCAGTGGTATGAAAAGTGCAGCAACTTATGCTCAAATTCAGCTTCCATTCTGTTTCTGAAACTAATGTCTCTTAACACATATGGGAATTTCTCTTTCCAAATTGTAAAGCAAAGAGAAAGGTCGCATTAGTACCTCTTGATATCTCCACACATTGGAAAACACCCTGCCTTGATTACCTGTTGTGATGCTGTGCTGTCGAGTTCCTGGGCAAAATACCTGCCACCCACAGCTTAGAAGAGCAGTTTAATTTAGTTCCTGATTTCATGGGTGTCTGGTATCAGTGCAGGAACTGTGTAGCAGAAGAGCCAGGAGAAACCAACCACTCAGGCCACAGTGGACAGGAGGCTGAGAGGCAGGAAAGAGCAGGAGACACAGCCTGAAGGTCTCTCCAACAGGCCCAGCTGAGCCGAACGTGAGGTCTCAGCAGCACCCCCAGACTGGAACATTGGTGGATGAATCCTCAGATCAGTGATCACCCCCATGGCAGTCAGCTCTCCAGAGCCTCAGGACCCAGTCCCATTGACAATGAGCCCACAGTCACAGGTGCACAAAGTCATGTTTCTCAGTGGACTTTCTGAGGATTCTCCTGACAAATGCCTTTCATTTCTTACCTGGCATTTCACAGACCTCCAGGAGACTAAACAGAAACCAGAACCCTTAGTAAAGGAGCTTAGGACTGAGTCTAAGGACTGCCCTGTCCCTGGGGAAGGTCCACTGAGACTGACTGGAGGGCCAGTCACAGAGGACACGACCTGGTCTGAGGCCAAGGTGAGGACAGAGCCCTGTGGGTACTGAGATCTCTGCAAGCTACCCTGGGGAGGACCAGGCAACTTCATCTGGACCTTTCTGGTCTGTGCCACTCTGGTTTCTTAAGGCACCTTCTGTGTCCACGCTGTAACTCAGGGCCTGTGTGGCTGTGATGTGCCTGCACATACTCATTATTTCCTATGTTGTTCATAGTGACACAAAGTGCATGAAAATGATGTGCATTTAATTACAGTATGGAAGTAGAAAATCTTAGAAATTTACATGCACGCTATTCTACAATGTCCAAGTATTTCTTTTGAAAAGTGCATTGAGTTATGAACAATTTCATCATTTTAAAGTAGGTAATGAAAATGATAGAATTAGGGACACTGTAGGGAGTTATTCACAAAATATTCAGGCATTAATTTTTGATAGAAATAGAAGTGTTATTATGCTCTTGAATTTAATTTCTAAGAAATCAAGTACATGTTCTTATCAGAAATGAATAGTGTTGCACCATATTTTTGTGTAAGGATTTTACAATATTTGAATGTTTAATATTCCAGACAGAAGCAATTCTTGAAGTAAAATCCGCAGACTGAATGCCCTGTCTTTGCAAGCTGAAGTGGCTCTTTGTTGCCCTCAGGAAATGGCCATGGATGTTTCAGCAGAGCCCACCTGGCCCTCCAGGCCCTGCGGGGACTGAACTGTGAGGAGGAGGAGAAGGAGGACGAGGAGGAGGGGAGAGACCTTGGAGGTGGACGGAGGACCTGAGGAGGACTCCATGACCCGTGCTTTCTCGGTGGCATCTCTGGCTCCCTGGGCCAGGTCCCGTGATGGGAGGAGGAGAAACAGTTGGAGCTGAGTGTGTGGGACCTGGGGCTTTGGTCTGACCAGGGCAGGGAGTCTCCTGGAAATGCAGGCTTATGTGGGTGATACAAGGTGAGGTGGACAGGACACAGGAGGACCAGGGCGTCCCCTGAGCCCCACCTGTCCTGGAGATCTGGGGTGCTGTCCTCCTGAGGGTGCTGTGCAGAGGCCAGGACCTTCACCCTCCCCACTGTGACCGTGCAGTGATCATGGATGACAAGGGGACTGGGCTCACACTGAAAGAAATCAGGAGTCAAAACCTAAGTAAAATGCAGCTGTTGTTCTCACTCATCTCTGAACATCTTCTTTTAGTCCACAGGAATTACCCACTATAACTTACACCTCTTCAAAAGAACAGTCACACTCATTTTTAAAGGAAGCCCATTCTGTGTCCCAAAGAGAAAGTGCCAGGTGACACAGCTTTGTGTACTGCAGTGACACAGGCCATGGGATAGACACTGAGGAGGCTGAGGCAAGAGGGCTGCTTTAGCCCAGGAACTAAAGGCTACCCTGAGGGAAACAGTGACACCTTGTTTGAAAAACACTGTGGAGGACCTGTGAAATAAAGACAAACCATTTCCACACAGATTGAGTAGGACATGCATGGATTTTTATGAGTTACAAATGCTCATCCATGTGTTGTAACTTCATTGAAGAATCAAGAGTTCACAGAAAATATCCTTGTTCTTCATGGGTTGTACTCCATTTTCATCCAATGTCACTCAGAATTCATGCTAATCCATATGTAGTGTTGTGTTGTGTTGAGAGCAGAGATCCTGAGGGTCAGCAGGAGATGGGAGTCACAGGTGATGGTGAGGAAAAGAGAGTTTGGGTCTCTGTGCCATCACCTGTGCCAGTGTGAGTTCTGGGTGTGCAGGAGTGATCGGCACATGCAGGTAAGGATGTGAACTCAGACAGCTTTGCTGTATTCCTACTACTCATGAGAAATTCAGTAACAGGATTTATCTAGTCACATATATTTTGAGAGGTCAGGGTAGATAGTAACAAAGACAATGGGATAAGTGTCCTCCTAGGAGTGTGAGTTTTTGAAGGAAATTCACACCAATGTCTTCTTACTGTAGTTTTTAAAAATTAAAATATTCAACAAAGGTTTGGATCACACAAAACATTCAAAAGCACTGCAAAATTTTCCTCAGTTTCCATTTCAATATCTACGTACTCATAAAATATTGTCCCCCAGATAACAAAAACTACTGTCTCTGTATTTTCATGGGAAAGGTGAGACAAAGGGAGAGAAATTGTATACATGAGAGCACATCATTTTTATCATTTCATATCTCAAAATTTAAAAATCTTAAACATTATTTCTAGTTTCTGAGGCCTCAGCATTAAGCATTGTTCTACTCACTATTCACTGCTGAATACACTGAGTCAGAAATTTACCTACACTGTGGTAGGATGGAACCTCCCAGCCACTCTCCTCAGGGCCCCCAGCACCTCCTTGTTCCTCAGGCTGTAGATCACAGGGTTGAGCACTGGGGTGAGGATGGTGTAGAAGACGGCCACCAACTTGTCCACTGCTGGAGAACGGAGGGATTTGGGGCGGAGATAAGTGAAAACAAAAGGTACATAGAAGAAAGTCACCACGGTGAGGTGGGTGCTGCAGGTGGAATAGGCCTTCTTCCTGCCTTCCCGTGAGTGCATGCGGTAGATAGCAAGGAGCACTTTCCCATAGGAAGCCAGGATGACCATGAAAGGGAGCAGGAGAAAGAGGACACTGCTGAGAAACACAGTGTACTCATAGACCCTGTTGTCCCCACAGGCCAAAGTCAGCATGGCTGGGATATCACAGTAGAAATGATCGATGGCCCTGGACCTGCAGTAAGGGATGTGGAGGACATAGACTGTGTGAATACAGGAGTTGACAACACCCATGACCCAGGACCCCAGGATCATCAACACACACTCTCTTCTGTTCATGCGGATGGGGTAGTGCAGAGGGAAGCAAATAGCCACATAACGGTCATAGGAATCCCAGGATCATCAACACACACTCTCTTCTGTTCATGCGGACTGGGTAGTGCAGAGGGAAGCAAATAGCCACATAACGGTCATAGGACATAGACATCAGGATAGGTCCTTCTGAACTTGCTAAAGTAGCGAAAAAGAAACACTGCACCCCACACCCAATGAAGGAGATGGACTTGTTCCCAAACAGGAAACCGGAAGCCATCTTGGGCACTGTGGTGCAGATGTAAATGAGGTCCATGAGGGAGAGCTGACTGAGCAGGAAGTACATGGGTGTGTGGAGC